TCTCCTTTTCATGTTACAATGTATTAGCAATAGGGCTGTCAGTTTAACGCGTTATTAACGGTGTTAACGCAAACCCATTTTAACGGCGTTAATTTTTTTTTTGCGCGCGCGATTAACGGTCTTTTTGTCCTAGCAAACTTTGTCGTTTTTTCACATGCTTTTGCAACAGGACGCCGCATGCGTCCTGATCCATTTCGACGTCTCGCGCTCGTCATCCACTCAAAGTCGGCTCGCAAGCCCAAACGTGCCTGTTGTTTTGTTTACGGTCTAGATCCGCTTGTGCTTTGGTCGAAGAAACAACAAAACGTCCAAGCCATTGAAATGAATGTTTCAGAGGGCAGCGCGAGGACGTTTTGTGCCGCACACACTCGTTTCGGCTTGCGAGCCGGCCAAATAGTAACGTTACGAGCGCGAGACGCCGAAATGGATGCCCTTAGAAGATTCTGAATGGAAAGTTCACGTTTAAAAAGTTGCCAAATTGTCCCATTGACAAGACCAAGTGATCTGTGTTTTGTTGTTGTGAACTGAGCGATCATCATCGCAGCACGTCCAGTCTGAAACACCACTTGAATTGCGAATTCTCTACCCCCGCGTCAGTATTTCTTTCACCCTTTTATTGATAGACAGTGTTACATTGTGTGAGAGATATTTATTATTTTCAATAATAATAATATACATTTGCACTAAACAAGCCAATCCACTTTTCCATGTTGATGAGAGCATTAAAATGAGAAAAAAATAATGTAACAAAAAGAAATAGTATAGATAAAAATGTGCGATTAATCGTGAGTTAACTATGACATTAATGCGATTAATCGCGATTAAATATTTGAATCATTTGACAGCACTAATTAGCAATCATTAGAAAAGTGAAAAGTGGAGTTCTTGTTCAAACCCTCTTTTCTTCAAATGTAGACTATATGGCCCGTGAACGTTTAATATACAAACTGTCATTTTATTTTAATTTCAGAATTATTTTGAACAAAAAAAACTTACCTAACTTAAATGCATTAGGAGGGTTTACTCTTGATCAGTGACGATGCTATTTGAATGGGATTTTCTGTTTAGTATCTTTAGTATCGTTTCTGTTATTAATGATAACACACACTATTACACTCATCATGTCAAAGAATACTTATGGCAACAACATCTGTTGTGTCTGTGGCAAATGGAACTGATTTCTGCTGTTTTCACAGCTCACTCTTTTCTTGAAGCTGGATGATAAACTCCATCGGCAGCTCAGCTGTGATATTATGCCAAGTGAGTGAAACCTTAAAGACCTTTGATTTGTTTGTTTTTTTCCAAAATAAACTCACATTATCATCTCTTTACCATATAAGTGCAATCAGGGTAAAAGTTAAAGACCCACAACAGTGAAGTAGCGACATAATATTTCAATGCACACAGTTTTCAGTATGTACTATATATATATATATACACACACACACACACATATATAAATATATATATACAGCAACTCAACAGTATAATAAAGACAAGATACTTATATTTTTTTAATTCAAACTACAGTAAGTAGAACTTAGTGTATTTCGACTGATAGAACTGGGTTTGAAACAGTGTAGTTAGCTTTTTTTCCCCTAGTATTTCCCTAATTTTTCAACAATTGTTATAAAGCTGAAAAAAAAGTAATAATACAATATAAATATTAGATGAAAAACTTAATTAGAAATGTTGCCTTGGCAAATAACTAAACTAGTTAAATACTATGACAGAAATAAAAAGTGAATTCAAGATTCAAAAATGTAAATTAAAATGTAAAAATAAAATAAAAACTAATTTAAAATATGAATAAATACTACAATAGTATAAATAATATTGGTTTGAAAAAAATACAATATTTTCCATTTCTTCAATTTCCTTGTTATTTTGTGTAATAGGTTTGAAATGAGTATTAAAAATATTGAAACACTAATCAATTATCATTATTATTATGAATCAAACATATTGACTATAATTATTATAGTTGTGGGGTTCAGATGTGTGTTTGTGGTCATTTCAGGTGACAGTTCCAGAGATTTGGTCAATGAACTTATCCATCATTCCTTCATCAGTGAGGTGAGACTAAAAACCTCATACTGCGTATACTGTATCCGCAAGCTTCCTCAATATGTTCATCATCTCAAAGCATATCAGTGTCCTTTCTTACATGTAACATGAAATGAAAACACACAGAAGCAGCAGCTACAGCTAAATGTTCACTTCTTGTCTTTGCCATCAATTTCCACAGGAGGATGGTGACAAGATAGTGGCGTTCTTGGAGGACGCTTTGAACCGACATCGTGGATCTGCGAGTGCCACAACAATGATATGAATGACAATGCTCTGTTGCCATGGTGACGGGCATTTACATGCCAGTGGAACCTGAGAGGGAGGCCCGCCAGTAGATTGGAGAAGGACAATGGAAACGAATGATCCAGTTTGTCAGTTAGTATGGATAGTTGAAATTGAGACTGTGGTCGATGGCAGAGCATGGCATACTGGTTTCTATGACAGGTTAGGGGGCCATGATAATTGAGCTTACCTCCCTGAGTCTCCGTCCAGCACTTCCAGGTGTCATTGTAGTGACCGTCCTTCCATAATCCCATGCGGGAGGGGGGGGGGGGGGGGGGGGGGCTTAAGGGCAATTCTGCCTCTCTAGAAGAAGAGAATAGCTTGTGGTGTAGGAGGTGTCTGCTTTGGAGAGCTCAATAGATGACATATAAAACAATAATCCGTTTAGAAAAACGTTCAAAATTGCCATTCTACTTCATTTTGCAGCTTAAACACAATTCTGTGTGAAAAAACAGAGGCCAGAAACATACTCTACGCAAGTACGCCAATGCGGATGCCAACAGAAGTGAACAGTCCGGGTCAACATGATGTCATGAGAAAGCGCTGACGATTTCATACCATGTGATTTGTTTAGATAAAGAAAGCCAGAATTTCCAACCCTAACCTAACCGTTATTGGGGCATACACAGATGGGTGTAACGTTGTTTCGTTTTCTGGTGTTCTGTTCGTGTTTTTCCTGCCTGATTTCCTTGTTAGCATTAGCTAATTATCCCACACTTGTTTCTGTTCTTCTAACTAGCTGCCTGTTATTTAAAGTCGCCTGAGTTCTCCTTAGTTCTCTCTGTCCAGTGATGTTTGTATCTTAGTGGTTGTTTAAAAGTAAATCTCCTGTGTGTTCTGTTTGGATAAATTAAAAGGTCTTACTCCGTCGTTGTGCGCGCTTCCGCCTACCGTTATTACACTGGATAAATAAGCTCATTTATATTCATACGAATTAGCCATTCATCAAAATATAAAAGTTACGAATTGCCATGAGAGTGTTGGTCCCATTGCACATACTTAGCATGCATTCTTGAGTTTCTGTGGCATTAACAAACCTTACATTAGTAGTCAATGGGTTGAGAGTTACGCTATCTATGCCATAAAACAGATTTGTTGTTATTCAGGTAGCTAGCTTAGCTAAACATCACAAGTTTAACTAACTTGCTTGACAATATTCTTTTCAAACTGTTGATCTGCTATACAGAGCTGCCCTACTGACAACAACGCTAAGAATGACATGTTTGTGTTGCACTATGAATTGTTTTGGACACATTTTTTAAATATGTGGCAGTATATTTGGAAGCATTTACATTGACTTACTTGCGTAGATGATGTTACTGCCCTGAGGAAATAATAAACCGCATTTATCAGTTTTCCCAAACTTGTCAGTTTTCCCAAAATGCTATCTATCCAAATGTATTGCTTTAACTGATGTGGTTAATGCCAATCAAATGAATATATGATTGTTTATCCTCCTACACATTACCCTGTTAGCTATCACAAGAATGTCTTAATATGCAGTTGGTCTGTCTTGCAAGGAGCATATACAGGAATGCATTGCCTTATATATAGACATTGCTGTTTGCTGGTGTCTAATAACATGAATTTGATATAATTTCAAAGAACCACACATTTTATACAGAATGGATCCTGGTTGGTCAACCAGCTAACCAGATGTCAGACTACATGGTTTTGGTGAGGACTTCAGTGGAATGCATTATGATGTACATTTCTGTGCGAAAAACTATAAGTTCTTTGTCATGAGCATCTACTAAACTGAATAAAAACAATGAAATGAACGACTGATTGATTTTTCTCATTTTTTAATCAGCTTTTTGTATTGACTAGATGCTTTTAAATGGTCCTGACATTTATAACTAAATCCCATGTAGCTCGCTTTATGTTTTTGTAAAAAGATGCTTAATACTCTTTTTTTAAATAGTTGGATAGCATGTAAAATGGGTAACGTAACAACAACTTACCTAGCGATGCATTTTGATTATTTCTCTAATGAATCAATCTACAAAATTTTAACCGTGGTGTAGCTAAGTTACTGTGCGCAAAATTTAATGTGCGCAGACAGTGCCTTTGCAATTCTTCTTCTTCAATAAAAAAAACTCAGCATCTAAAAATATTGAACTTTCATAAAGTTATTTGCGAACCAAATTTGATGTGTAATTAGCTAAAGCAATAATAAGCTCTGTGTGCTAGTGCATATCATACGAAGTATCCATAAATCGATACTGACGTCGAGGATCGGAAAAATCGATACTCAAATAAAAATATATTTTTTTACTGGTCAGTAATTTTGTTCAATTGACAAGAAATCGTATCGAAAACAAAATAATTGCTATAGGCCATGTGCTTTTGAATCACTCTCGGTAGGTACTTTGATGATGTCATTAATTGATCAGTCTGTCTGCACCTGCACGCACCTGCACCGTTCTGCACACAAGATGGCGACCGAGACCGGAAGTAGGGTACATTTTTTTTTCCGGTGAAAGCGTTTATGCAGAGACTAAAAGCGGTCTGTCCTGTTGCTTACCTTTTTATGATGTTTATGTCAACCCAAAGAAGAAACAACCTAATTTATCACTTCACAGCTTTCCGTGTTTTCATGGAACAACTGGGGAAAAGTTAAATCATGTCAGACACAGACGACGACAACAACACGACCAGCTACGATCGACATTCATTCTCAAATTGGACTGTGAACAGCTTGTTTTCTCTCAATCATTCATATATCTGACAAAAGTAAGAATAGCAGATGTTTTCAGTTTTGTTGATAGTTTTCAGGAAGATGAAAAAAAAAGCTTGGACCAAGGTTACAAATTCTTGATGTTTGCTTACATAAAGTTCCATTCATAAATGGCATGACACTTGATAACTTCTCACATTCAACGTAAATATATCGAAAAACAATAAACAAATAAATTGAAATGATGTCTGATTGTAGGCTATGAGTGCAATCTAGTGGCTTTTGTTAAAAAATACATGTATATATATGGAATTATGTTCTATTCATAACAGTTACATCTTTCAGACAGTTAAATATTGTGTAACATCATGATTTAAAAAACAAACTAATTAGTAATTTAAAAAAATCATGTTACCCAATATTCTGTCTGGTGTTCCCTAATGAAAAGAAATTAAATCTTATCATAAATGGTTTAACAGAATATTTGAAAACATTATATTGCATATTACATAAGCAATTTTCCTATTTACTAATATATAAGGTATGCAAGTTATCCATCGTTATGGGAGTACAACGGATTTCCGCCAATATCAGGGTCCCCCTCCTTATGTCTTAAAGTACCCTTTTTTAAGGCTGTCAAATAGTGTAATAAATGTCTTAATTTTAGTTTGAATGGGTCGGAAGCCGTAGAAATTTATCGTTATAATTATTGTCCTTTGTGTGAACAGGCCTTTACACACGGTGAGATCCCATGAAGCAGCAATCCTGATGTTTCCCAGTAGGTCCTGCTCTCTCCTGGGAATGAAGCCATTTCTGAGTCCCTGAGTTCCTATGACAGGTAGGATTTGCATGCCTCATTTATTTATGAATCTAAAAGCGAGCTCCCTTTGGGACAGTGAACATCTGGCACCCGTGCTGGTCTATTCGGAGAAAAACATCATCCCTCGATCCACCCTGCTCATGCAAAGATGACTTTCACTTCTGAATTTAATCCTAACAGGTTTATTTTTAAAATCACAATGGACTGAAACTGGCAGTTGTGATAGTTGCATGGTTTTATTTATTTATTTACTTTTAATAGAGACTTGAGTTGTTTTTATCACAATTTTATTAGAACAAGTTGTCACAATATATTTATTAATAATAACCCAGTATACTGTATACTGGCAGTCAAATGTTTGATGTTTGAATGTATATATATATATATATATATATATATATATGTATATACACACACACACACACACACACACACACACACAGTAAAATGATCAGTTTTTAAGAGGCGGCTCCTTTAAGGCTTGTCAGTAAATGTTGCCACTGTTGTGATTGGCTAACTTCATTGAATCTGAAACAGTATCAACCATATGTATATGTAGATGCCACAGCGATGCAGCATCAAGGTGTGACACATGGTGCCACAAATGAATATTAGGCATATACTGATAATTTATCATTAATGTTATTTAATGATATTATAAGATTACACTTTGTAGATTACACTGACTTTAACGAAAACACCTTTTTTGCAGAACGTTTCTCACATTTTCACGACGGCTTTGACCAGCAGATGTCGCTACCCTGCGGCATAGAAGTAATACAAGACTTTCTTATTATTATGAAAAAAGGGTCATAATTACGAGAAACTTTCTCATCGTTATGATTTACAGAATCGTATCAGTTTTTACTCAAGTGTGGCAGTCACCCAAACTGCACACAAGAATGTCTCCTCTTCCACCTTAACTCCGCCCCCACACCACTTGATTGACACATCTCGTTTGAATTTTGTTTATCATTTTAACAGCTGTTTTGGTTTATTACTTGGTCAATTTAAGCATTTGATTTTTCATTTGAATTTTGTTAGAAAAAAACTACAGTTGTAATATAAAATAAGAGTATAGTATAGTAGTATAATACAGTATAAGAGTAGTATAGTATATAAGAGTAGTATAGTATTATAATATAAGACTAGTATAGTATTATAATATAAGAGTAGTATATTATAAGAGTAGTATAGTATTATAATATAAGAGTAGTATAATATAAGAATAGTATAGTATGATAATATAAGAGTAGTATAGTAGTATTATATAAGAGTAGTATAAGAACTACTATCCATCACTTTACTTTTTCAAGGGAAAATTAATTAAATTATCCAACTCATGTTCTGCCACTAGATGGCTGTACAATACAGAATTTCCCAGCTTCCGTCTCCATGGCAACCACACAGTTTTACATCGTTCTGTGATGGAAATCTTTTTCTTCACTTCTGTTGTCATCTTATTTGTGATCTTAATGGGTGTGTTTGCTTTTGGGATTCTAGTCTTTTGTTAGCTTTTTTGTGTCACTTAATTAGTATGTAATCAGACAGACACAACAGATACTGCACCCAATTTTCACCTTAACTCTACACAAGAATCCTGCCACCTTTCAACCAATATTGAAACTAAAATTGCAAAGCAAAAATGTCAATACATTTCACAAAAAGATTTCCTCCTGACTTGTCCCAGTTCTAGTTTTTATTTACCTTTACCTGAGTGTTGTAGATATCTTAAAATGATAAGGATTAGGTTAGTATCTATCTATCTATCTATCTATCTATCTATCTATCTATCTATCTATCTATCTATCTATCTATCTATCTATCTATCTATCTATCTATCTATCTATCTATCTATCTATCTATCTATCTATCTGTCTGTCTGTCTGTCTGTCTGTCTGTCTGTCTGTCTGTCTGTCTGTCTGTCTGTCTGTCTGTCTGTCTGTCTGTCTGTCTGTCTGTCTGTCTGCACACACATTTTCACTGTATTTTTACTCTTTGTTTTGTGTCCTGTATTTGAAACATGATAGGCTAACTGAGCAGAGAGTTGTGAAGAATATCCAGCGTACCAATTTTGGTTTATTTCCTTGAAACATTAACAGTTAAGTATTTGATTTTATTGACAGCCCTAGATTTTCTTTATAAAAGCACTTTGAAAGAAGTGCCTTTAGTTGTAATTTCAACCAAAGTACGAGAGGAAAATCAGACTCTGTAAAAGCGAAATCGACTTTGACAAACGGAGACCTTGCAGTTCTAAAGGTTGAGAGCCACTGATCTAGCGCAATCTAAACTGCCACAGCTTCAGGCTACATTGGCCAGCATGTAATAATTAAATTTTCCCAGAGAAATAGCCTTTGGGCTGAACTTCATTTCAATATTCATTTTACAGGTACAATAAGATTCGTTAAAGTTTCTCACTGGATGCTCTCTTCTAGTTACAAGCTAATTTAAAATCAGTGATGAACTGTGATAGCAACAATTATTTTTCCTTCCTTTCCTACTTTACATTTTTTCCCATACATGTCATTTCAAAAATTACATTGTCATGCATCATTTTGTATGTTTAAATCAGAGCTGCTTCTCTGGGGGCTTTGAATAGGCCACTTCAGCTGGAATGCTGTCTTTTGTTTATTTGCTATTTCTTCTAATGGCACGTACTAAAATAGCTTGTAGGCAAACAATATTATTCTTGCAAATGAAAAAATAAAAGGAGAAGAAAATGAAATTTCACCTGTTTATGATGTTGTCAAACTCATTTAAGAAGCTTCCTGGTGACAAAACAGCAGAACTGTGTAGATTTGAAAGCCTTAAATGTTCCCAGAGTGCAAAATCAATAAACACATCTGAAAGCATTTACCTTAGACCTTATCCGTAATGTCTGAAACAAACATCCAAATAATGTGCACCATTCTGCATTAATGTCAGCTTTAGCTGTGGCCCAATCTGCCATCGCAATGTCTCGACCCGTGTGAAAGCAAATCACCGCTCCCTGAAATGGTTTTAAAATGCCAGTGCAGGCATTAAAGCACTTGAGTTCTTGCAGAAGAGCTGCTTTACTGTCATCAGAGTCCTGAGAGAGCAGTTTGAGAGGTGGAGATAAGTCATAAGACAGGAAACTGTACACAGGCCACAGAAAACCTCACTTCTTTATGGCAAGAGTAAATCCTGACTGACTGCACAACACTTCCAATATTCATTTTCAAAGTCTTATATTAGTCAACACATTTGATGTGATTGGTTACAAGGTAGTTTGTGACGTCAGAACCTACAGAAACACAGTCTCGGTCAAACACATCCATCTAGCGCAGGCTTACATCCAAAACAATGTAATACCAGATGAGTGACATGTAAAAAAGCCCCTTAGACTGTCTATTTAATAATAACCTATTTTCTTTCCCTCATTGTTATCCTGTTGTTTCACTCAGAAGTCTGATCGCGTTGTGGAAGTAAAATGGCTTGCGAATGACGTGGGAGGAGATGGTTGAACCACTATTAATGAGACTTGTACCTACAGCTCTTGGAAAACTGCCATTTTAAACATTTTATTCCGGTGCTCAAAAACTCAAGCCACCAATTTATTGACTATAGAGAGCTTTTTGATTCCCAGGGAAGACAGGTCAACTGTGAAATAGACTTGCTGATAAAACCCTCTCCTTTGCAAATATCACACCAGGTCATTGTAGAATTTGTTTAACCCAAACCTGAATAAATAGTCTGTTTATATGGCAAAATGTCAGATCAGATAATTGAAAATTGTCTTGGATATTACAGTCTCAATCTCAAACTCTTTTTTTTATTACTAACCAGAAGATGGCAAAGGTGAGCTGCCAGGATCAGTGTATGAGTATGAGCATATGTGCATGCCTCCTTTTCTCCCGTCGTTGTTTAATTAGTGATCACTTGAGTTTCTTAACAGTCATAACATCATAAGTAAAACACCTGTTCTGCCTGGAGAAGTTTGCATCAAAGCCCTAAGCTTATTAAACTTTATAGGTTACTCGTCCCGCACTAATTGTGCTACAGACATGAATGATATCTGAAATTGTGTGTTTTGTTGAGAAGAGGTGTGTCGTTACTGACCCAGAACGCCTTAGAGACATCATAGCAACCACCCAGAACACCCTAGCAACCGCATAGAAAAAGCCCTGATAGAGCTGCATTGATATTTCTGGATAAATTTAGAATCGCAGAGATTGCGATCCTCCTACGATTTGTAGGCCTGATTTGCTAGGGGTTTTGACAAAATGTAAATTTTTACTAATTTTGAATGAATTATTTGTTTAAATCAGTTGAGTGAACGATTCAATGACTCACTCATGAAGATTTTTTTCATTACTTGAATCAATGATTCAGTGACCAGACTAATCTCATGAAGTAGCGTGTGTATGACACGCCAATTCGTATTTCCATTTTTGGCGTGCTATCAAGACGCATAATCGCTTTTCAGCGTGTTTATGAACGCCGTTGACTTAACGTTATTACTGTATATATAAATATATGACTTACCTCAACCCCGTCCCTAAACCTAACCGTCAATGGGGTTTATGGCATTTATGACTGGACATTTGACGGCGGAATCACTCGGACGTTAATGGCGTAGACGTACACGCATACACGCGGATAGTTAAAAATGCGTAGAGATAAGCCACTTGACTCGAAAGGGCCGTGTATGTTTACGCAAAAGTCATGATGTCATGTTGCAGTGACAAATAAATTTAATTCAATTGTCGCCACCTACTGGTGTAACAATGTAATTGACGATCATTATTTGAAGCGTCAAGTTACTTTCAAAAGTTGATTTGCTCTATTTTGATTGCTTCCGTAAACATCAGTGTTTATGTCCGAACTATACAATTTTTACCCATTTCTTTGATAATAACACGTTTGGATGTTCCGGTGTGATTTTGTCAAAGGTTTAATAGACACAGGCGTATCGCTGTCATTTAGTAATGAAATCGTGATGGTGTTTGAATCGAGATTGCAATCTTTTAACGATTAATCGTGCAATCTTCTCCTAT